TGCGTGTTTGTGTGTATTTATTTTCCGGGCGCTTATGCGAACGCATCGTAAAAGGCACGTTTTCATTTATGAAGAAGCGAGATACTTTTGGTACCAATCCACGCAGAGTGGACTTCAAAGAAACATAAATTCTTCCGAGTTTTTATCAACACGTGAGCTGAAGCTCAAATGTAATGTTAAGTAAGGGAGACCAGGGACAAATGTAACACGGAACGAAAGTAACAAATGTCACAAAAAAAATACCAATTAACCAATAAATTTCGCCTTCCATTTTTATATGTCGATTACACCCCTCCTTCACTTCAGTTATTGACTATACATATAAATAAGCGATTGTTGGAATTTTACTATTTTATTAAAATATCAAAAGTAAGTTTTTAATATCAGTTTCAATTGTATATCTTTTCATTCTAATTGCGTAAAACTGTCCGGTTTTTGCATTGTATTAAATAGATTGAACTCGAAGATAGATATAACATTTTTTATGGTTATAAGTTAGATGAGCATGCAGTAACATGTTAAGGGAGGGGTATAGTTAATTCGGTCAAAAGAAGGCATGTTTTTATGAATTTTTTTAGGCGCTCTGGTTAGTGCCAGTGTATTGAAATAAAATTATAATAAAACTACATCTCAAGAATATTCAGTAAAAATTTGGACGCAAAAAATTAAAAACTGTGCAAATGGCACGCGATCGACGGAGGCGCCTCGAAAAAAAGACGTCCTGCGGTGCGCAACATTTCTCGGCACTGAATCATCTGAAATCAAAAAACCAAAACTTTTTAGTTAGTTTATGAGTTTCTAAACATGCCTTCTTTTGACCGCGAATTAACTATACCCCTCCCTTAATAAGTGACAAGATGTTACTTTGTCCTCATTCAATTTTTTTCTATGCCCTGTCTAAGAACGTCAGACTTTCCATGCGAAATGAGATCTACATCATATCTTCCGGCCTAGAAAGTCGGATGCCCCTAAGCAGAGAGGCAGATGGGGTGGACCTCACTTTGCGTAGAAAGTCGAACGCCCCTAGATAGAGGGGAAGTGGAATAGACCTCGTTTTACGTGGAAAATTGGACATCTAGGCGGGGCGAAGGTGGAGTAGACCTCGCTTTGTGTGGAAAGTTGGACGGAAAGTAGTCCCGTAGGAATTTATTCTCTAAAGAGAGGATTTACTACTAAAATTGCATTTTAACTCTAAATTTCTCAAAAACTATAACAGACTGTCATACAGTTGTTAAGGTAAAGTTATTCAGGATCAAAGTACAGTGCTATTGATTCTGATTAATCTAACTATTTATCTAGATTAAAACTGATCGACATATTTTTCCTTGGTGAAATTTTTAATAGATCATAATCTATATAACTACTTATTTAGAGTAAAAATAATCGACATATTCTCTTCGGTGAAATTTGTAACAGATCGTAATTTATAGATTGTGTGCAGGAGGGTTATTTTTTTTTATTTCAGCAATAATAAAAAAATGCAGTAACGAAAGACATGAATGTTATCACGCTAATTCATCAATCGCATTACATTTCAATGAAATGTTAATCATCGTTAATAAATGAATAAACTCGAAACGCAAAAAAATACTCAATAAGCTGTTTACGAAAATCAATTTTAATCATAAAGTCCATTTCAAAAATATATTTCCTTTCCTATCGTTAATATTGCGAGAAAAATAAGAGTATAACAAATCTGAATTGATCTAAATAGATATAAGATAAGATAAATCAAAGGTATCGCTAATAAATTTCATTCTCAAGTTATCATATTAGTAAGACGATATTTCTTATCAATGTATTTATTACATTTGACATACATTTATATGTACCTAATGCTAAAACATACACAAAAGATTACGTTTCTTTAAATACATATTTTTTTATTTGATTTGATTATCTTCTTCTAATTAGATTGTTTAAGTGACACTGTTTGTAACCTTTTTATTGCAAACTTGATCGGTAATTAAAAATTGTATTAAAATTAATAGATACGTAGTGATGTTACCCACTATCTAAAATTAAAATTATATATAAATAAGTATTACATATTATCTAAAACAAATAATTATTCACTCACCGCAACGAGAAGCGTTGCGTCTAGTATAAGACCCTTAGCGGAAAATGTATTTTCCCGATTCAGTACTTGCAAGGAGAACAGCTGCAACTACAAAACATCAGATTAGAAAATAATTAAGTACAAAATTAAGAAATAATTACTAACTACACAGATTTAATATATACATTTTGACAAGTGAAATATCTTCAAAAAAATGTACAGATCCAATTTTATTGTTTTATTTACTTCATTTTTTATTTGTTCATCAATAGTATCGTTCAGTATTTCATGAACGTTGATACCGATCCTTGTGGCCTCATCTTTGCCTGTATCACAAGCCCATCCTATCAATGATATTTTGATGCATAGATGCATAAAAGAAATTGTCAATAATATTTCATAAACCGTGTGGTTTATTTTCATGTCAACATCCCAATGAACTATATAAAAATATAGATAAAAGGTAAGCTCAGCAAAAGTCATAACTATGGTAGCAAGAAGTTGTAGACTGAAAGTCGTATTCAACATTTGCACTGTGTCACTGATCATCAAATGCTCTTTTTTCAAAGCTTTAAGTTTCGTTAGTAAGAATGGATTTCTTTGCTCATGATAAATTCTCCTGAAAAGATGTGGTTCGTCGCTCACCACGAGCTTCCGCAAATTTTTCAATTTATTGTTAACTTCCTTAAAACAGGCTTTTAATACACATACACAATTTATATACAACATATCCATTTGAAACACTATAAAGGTGATGTACAGTACGAGAATCCTGTCTACGATACCAAAATTTACTGTACAATAATAAATTGTTGTTCGTCCAACTACAAGAAAGGAACCGAAAATATCTTTAGCGTGAATCAGTCTAGATAGCTTTCGGTACGAATCAGGAGACAGTCTCAAAGAGATTTCCATTATATTTTGAAGTAAGTGCATCCGAGGACCGTTCAAAATGTACGTAACAATCCCGATAAACCCGCCGAGTATAAAAAAACAATTACGTTCAAGATATACAGGTATGCTACTATAATTGATCGTTCCAATAATATCTATCCTATACAACGTTATTAGTTCATAAATACAGAAAACGGAAGTAATGAAAGTTGTCAGAAAATAGCTCTGTTTTGTAGTTTCAAAAGTTGAAGCGTTGATGCGATATGGAAATATTCCTAATATGCGGCAAAAGGTGAAGCAGGGATACATAAGCGATTGAAAGTCCGTAGCATGGAACAGCTGCCATTTTGGCCACACTTTGCACTTAATGTATCTTTGAAATTTCAATGACATATTTGTCATTATCGGTAGAACAGAAGTTCTCAACAACTTATATCATATAACTTAGATTACACTGTCCAAAAATGATTACTCTTTACACCTTAGCATTAACACAAGCTTTACTGTGAGAATTTCTTTCTGTATGTAGTCTTTGAGATTATATTTGATAAGGATTTTTCTTCATTCTACACTCGGCCAGTTTCCATTTAAAACTGCAAGCAGTTACAGCATCTAAACAATAAGGGGTCAATTGTTAGTCCTAAAGTAACCATGGTACTCTTCGATCGGTAATCATCAACTTTGATGTGCAGAGTAGGGGAGACAAGGGACAAATGTAACACGAGAAATGTAACATGAAAGTAATAAACGTTATAGAAAAGATATCAATCGACCAATAATTTTTTCCCTCCATTTTACACGTCAATCACACCCTTCCTTAACCCAGTTATTGACAATACAAACTCTCTGTTTTTGTTTGCGTTGTATTAAATAGATATTAAGAACATAAAGATAGATATAAAATTTCTTATGATTATATGTTAAATGAGCATGTAATGATATCTTAATGAGAGATACCGTTAATGAGGATAAAAGTAACAAGATGTTATTTTGCCCCATTCAATTTTTTTTATACGTTTTGCTTACGATGGAATCACACAATGCTCGATTTCTTGAATGATGAGCATGCATGCATATACTGCTATGCTACGATCTGACGTTTGACAGATAATTACGAAATTAGCACAATTGTGTTAATTGTGTTTATATTCACCCACAGAGTAAATAAAAATCTTTTTAGAAGCACCTCTCCTATTAATTCATTTTATATTTAAAGTTAAACAAGGTATTCCAATTCTTACCCAATTTCATTGCATGTTACTTTTATCTTTAGTGGTAGAAACAAAAGTAACAAATGACTATTTTAGAAAAATTGATGTAATATATTGTTAGTTTTTCGATAATGTTGTCTAATAATGTAGATTTACTATTGTAAGGATTCGTTAGAAAATTTCACATCACTTATAGAAGTTGCAAAATTAAAAAGGTAAATTGTTACGTTTGTCTCTAGTCTCTCCTATAGATTAATGGAATATTCGTTTCTCTGAAGTTTGTTTAAAATCTCACAGATAGCGCTCGTTTTTTTATGCTCTTCAATAGATCTATTTTTTATTTCTGCACTTTATGGATTGCACTAGAATTCCCTTTCTCGCTTTTTCGTCAAATATCAAACATATACCTATCTCACTTTAAGTTCCAAAAGTGTATACTAGTTCAGCCACAGAAAACAGAGACCTAATATCGTAGCGGAAATTATTATACATTAGGAAACAAAAATCGTTATACATACCCAATCAAAATAGATATTAGATAGGATTAATAAAAAGAGAACCGTTGATAAATTTTAACTTTAAGTTATCATATTAGTAAGACAATATTTCTTACAAATATATTTATTATATTTGACACACAGTACACATGAGCAAATAAAAGACTTCCACACAAAAAAGATTTATTTTTCAATTATGTAAATGTTAACATATAAGGTTTTGTCTCTACATATACATTCACATATATCTAATGCTAAAACATACACAAAAGAATATGTTTGTGTATTTAAATATATTTTTTTTAATTTAATTTAATTATTTTCTTCTAATTAGATTGTTTACGTGATACTGTTTGTAACCTTTTTATTACAAACTTGGTCGGTAATTAAAAATTGTATTAAAATTAATAGATACGTAGTGATGTTACCCACTATCTAAAATTAAAATTATATATAAATAAGTATTACATATTATCTAAAACAAATAATTATTCACTCACCGCAACGAGAAGCGTTGCGTCTAGTATAAGACCCTTAGTAGAAAATGTATTTTCCCGATTCAGTACTTGCAAGGAGAACAGCTGTAACTATAAAACATCAAATTAGAAGATAATTAGGTACAAAAAAAATAATTACTAACTGCACAGATTTAATATATACAGTTTGACACGCGAGATCTCTTCAGAAAAATGTACAAATTAAATTTTATTGTTTTATTTACTTCATCTTTGATTTGTTCATCGATAATATTGTTCAGTATTTCATGAACGTTGGTACCGATCCTTATGGCCTCATCCTTGCCTGCATCACAAGTCCATCCCATCAAAACTATTTTGGAACATTGATACGTCAAAGATGTTGTTAATAACGCATTATAAAACGCGTGGTTTATTGTCCAATGAATTATATAAAAATATAGAGAAAAGGTAAGCTCAGCAAAAGTCATAACTATGGTAGCAAGAAGCTGTAAACTGAAAGTCGTATTCAACATTTGTACTGTGTCACTGATCACCAAATGCTCTTTTTTCAAAGCTTTAAGTTTTTTTAGTAAGAATGGATTTCTCTGCTCATGATAAACTCTCCTCAAAAGATGTGATTCGTCGCTCATCACGAGCTTCCGCAAATTCTTCAGATTATCGTTGACTTCCTTAAAACAGGCTTTTAATACGCATACACAATTTATATGCAACATATCCATTTGAAATACTATGAAGGTGACGTACAGTACGAGAATCTTGTCTGGAATACCATAATCTATTATATAATAAAAAAATATTGCTCGTCCAAATAGAAAGGAGAAACCGAAAATATCTTTAGCGTGAATAAATTTAGATAGCTTTCGGTACGAATCAGGAGACAGTTTCAAAGAGATTTCCATTATATTTTGAAGTAAGCGCATTCGAGGACCGTTCAAAATGTACGTAACAATCCCGATAAATCCGCCGAGTATAAAAAAACAATTGCGTTCAAGAGTTAGAGGTATGGTACCAAAATTGATCGTTCCAGTAATGTCTATCTTGTACAGCATTATTAGTTCATAAATACAGAAAACGCAAGTAATGAAGGTTGTCAGAAAATAGAGTGGTTTCGTAGTTTCAAAAGTTGAAGCGTTGATGCGATATGGAAATATTCCTAATATGCGGCAAAAGGTGAAGCAGGGATACATAAGCGATTGAAAGTCCGTAGCATGGAACAGCTGCCATTTTGGCCACATTTTGCACATAATATATCTTTGAAATTTCAATGACATATTTGTCGTTATCGGTAGAACAGAAGTTTCCAACAACTTATATTATATAACAACTTAGAGTACACTGTCCAAAAATGATTACTCTTTACACCTTAGCGTTAACACAAGTTTTACTGTGAGAATTTCTTTCTGTATGTAGTCTTCAAGATTATTTGATAAGGATTCTTTCTCAATCTATACTCGGCCAGTTTCCATTTAAAACTGCAAGCAATTGCAGCATCGAAACAATACCTAATCGGTCAATTGTTAGTCATAAAGTAACCATGGTACTTCGATCGGTAATCATCACCTTCGATGTGCAGAGTAGGGGAGATCGGGGACAAATGTAACACGTGGAATGTAACATGAAAGTAATAAACGTTATAGAAAAGATATCAATCGACCAATAATTTTTTCCCTCCATTTTTACACATTAATCATACCCTTCCTTTACTTCAGTTATTGACAATACAAACTTTATGTTTTTGTTTGCATTGTATAATATTAAATGGACATTAAAGACTTTTAAAGAAAGGTATAAAATTTGGTATGGTGATGTTAGATGAGCATGTAATGATATCTTAATGAGAGATACCGTTAATGAGGATAAGAGTAACAAGATGTTACTTTATCCCGTTCGATTTTTTCTATGCGTTTAGCTTGCGATTGTATCACAAGATGCTCGATTTCTTGAACGGTGAGCATGCGTGCATACTGCTACGCTTCATTCGATCTGATGTTTTCAGATAATTATGAAATTAGCACAACTGTGTTAATTGTATTTATATTCACCCACAGAATAAATAAAAATATTTTTAGAAGCATCTCTCCTATTAATTCATTTTATATTTAAAGTTAAACAGGGTATTACAATTCTTACCCAATTTCATTGCGTGTTACTTTTATCCTTAGAGATAGAAACAAAAGTAACAAACGGCTACTTTAGAAAAATTGATGTAATATATTATTAGTTTTTCGATTATGTTGTCTAATAATGTGGGTTTACTATTGTATAGGATTCGTTAAAAAATTTTACATAACTTATAGGAGTCATAAAATCAAAAAAGCAAATAATCGTTACGTTTGTCCCTAGTCTCTCCTATAGACTAATAAAATATTCGTTTCTCTGAAGTTTGTTAAAATCTCACAGATAGCTCTTGTTTTTTTTATGCTTTTCAATAGATCTATTTTTTATTTCTGCGCTATATGGGTTGCACTAGAATTCTCTTTCTCGCTTTTGCGTGAAATATTAAACATATATCTTTCTCACTTTAAGTTCCAAAAGTGTGTACTAGTTCAGCTACAGAAAAACAGAGATCTAATATCGCGTAGCGGAAATTATTATACATTAGGAAACAAAAATTGCGCTCTATACATACGCGTTACTGAGAGTCAGCACGTTATCGGTCTGGGACATTCATCGTGCCATTGTAGCTCGTCTTTTTATCTCCGGCCATTTGACGCTAGTGATATCTACTCGCTTCTTTCTTCATTCTTCCCTAACTCCACAAACGAATGCTCACTCGGATATATTACGCTCATCGTAACCCGCTGCGTCCGAGAGTCCACTTCCTCTCTGTGGGTCGATACAAAACGCGCGCGTGACAAGAAGCTTCGGCGCAAACGCATAGGAAAACGTCGCATAATAGGAAACGCTTCAATTAAATAAATTAAAATGTTATGACACTTTGTCTGGTATTCGTAGTCGATTTTTATATTTAAACTGGCGTCTACGATGAGATTTTAAGGCATAAAACTTAAGCTTTAAGCCTCAAACTAGAAGAAATTGATCAATCACAATCGAAAGTGAAGAAGATAATCGATTATAATTAAATAATTTCTTACGGCTTAAGATTTAAGTTTGAGTTTTATGCCTTAAAATCTCATAGTAGACGCCGCTTTAGACTGTCTTAAGTACAATCTTAAGATGTCATAAATCAATGAGAGAACTGTATTATCTTTTCCGCGTTCAAATTACGTGGATAAAGTAGTTGAGTCATCAAGGGAAAGCATCGGCTGTATTTCTACATTGTATCGCACGAATCTTTTCGCCAAACACGCTTTAAGATTTTAAAAAGGTTATTATGTCCCGGGATTCCTTGGACTCCAGTATTCAGGAGCCGTTAGATCCATGGCTCGTTGGGTCCTCTAACATTCCGGTATCTTTCGTCCCGGCCCTACCATGAGATGATCGAGACTTGGAAACGATCCTCGCCGTCATGCCTCGTCCGAGATGGTTCCCGGTGTTTGGCATCGGTATGCAATAAACAGTGGTCGGCGGATACCGAAGAGTCGCCGAACTATTCGCGCAATGCCAACATAAGCCGATGCGCGGAGAAGTCGGTCCAAATCGCGGGCGTTCGATGTTCGTGGCAGAGATCGGCGGTCGTCACGTGACGCCGTATACGTTCTTCTGGAAGTCCCGTCATTCAAGTCTTCTCTCTTGTCGTCCCTTCTCATCTGACGAGAACGCACCGGACAAGCCGACGATCAGAGGTATTTAGAGAATGCATTTTCAGTTGCAGGGAACGCTCTTTATTAACTCTGTCACGGAGAGTATATTTTCACGATTTGTGAAAATCGGTGCGGTTCACAGTATTACATATTTTCAGTGATTAGAAATAAATTTTTTTAATGTATATAAAAACAACTTTTATATTCAAATTTAGGAAAATTCAGGATATTATCATTTTCGTCACTCGAAGAGACGAGTTTGTCGAAAAACACTTTGACGATTTTGAAGATTATGACAGTTTGAAAAGCTATAAAGCAATGGTAACTTTTCTTCACATAAAAGTATAAATTTATAATAAATTTTAGAAGAAGTAATCTGCGCTCGTGCTCGCTTCCGAGCAGTCATACAATATTTCGTAAATGGCTGTAATCGGGTTAGCTCGTCTAGTTGTGTATAGGATTTACATACGTACGTATACACATAGCTTTAGATCCTTCTGTAGAACGTAGAGAGATTGAAAAAGATTTTTTGATACCTCAAAATGCTTCGTAAATATTCGCCCGTTACATTTCCGCGAATGCAAAATGCAATCCCTTTTCGAGTCCAGAAACGAAGAAAAAACATCGAAGATAACTGAAAGCTGTAAAGTCCGTTCCACGCTAATGTAAAGGTAATTGTACAGAAACACGTTCTTCCGTAGTTAATAAATTATGAATTTTCGCCTAACTCGATTGGGCTGAGTTTGTTAATCCATTTGCATAAACGCGTCTAAAGAGAAGCTCGCTTGCGTAGCATAGTTATTTCGTCTGTTTCCATTTAAAGTGATCATTAAAGATTCAACCGTGTTAGACTCGTTGTCAGCGTTATATAATCACTGCAAGAGCTCGACTGCAAGTAATCACGTTAATTTTCCACGATACAGTCACGCTCATTGACCGTTATTTTCGATATTAATTCTTATCGTACTCGTCACGACGTGTCATAATCCGATTCTATATATATATAACGGTACGAAGCCACAAATAAAGTTCCCGTATTTTCGCCACCGTCCCCATTGATCGGATTAACGCCGGAGAGACTGAAGAAAGGCTGATCGTTAAAAATGCTGCCGAATCCGACGGGCGACGTACGGGCCGTGAAATTTTTCATGCTCGCGTGCGCAAAAAGTAGACATTAATCCCACCGCGATAAACAACTTGGGACCGGGGAAGAGAGAAAGAGGTAAAAACAAACCGACGCGCTCAGGATACGGTGCGGGACAGACGGCCATGTTGCGGCCGAGCTCGCCTATCGTCGATGCGATACTCGCCACGAGTGAACGAGCCGGCAAACCCGACGCGACGCGACGCGACGCGGATGCGGATGCGACGCGGATGCGACGCGATGCGACGCGACGCTGATTTATCATGCCTCGACGTACGACGTAGACGGATCGAGGACGCTCCGGGATAAAACGGATCGCCAGCAATTGGCGGTGGCAGTTCGTGAGTTGTCGCGCCACCGCACACACCACGTTGTTTACGCTCCCTTTCTTTCTCTCTTTCTCCCTTGCGTTATTTTGCCCGGGAGACAAATAAAACTTGGTTAATAAATAAATGCATAACTATATATAGAACACGAGGCGAGCGAGCGGACACGCGCCGCAAGCGCGCGCCGCGCCGCGCCGCACCGCGCCGGGCAATTTATTTCCTGGGTCTCGCTCTGTATTAACTGCCCGCCGAGTTTTCCACCATCGTCGGCTGCGGTTTTTCCGTCGCAAACTTCTCCTTCTACTGACTTTGCTCGAGAAAAGTAATTAACTACGAACGCAAAAAGAAACACTATTTCATTAGAATATTTTTGCTCTAGGGTATTCCAAAAGTAAAAGGCGAATATACATATACATATACATGAAACGTAATAAAGAAAGAGTGATTATGTATAGAAAAATAAGTCGGGGTAGCGAGACGGTAATGTATTTTGTCCACGAATCGTCGAAAAAATCGATTTCGATGAAAAATTTAATGAATATGCAAATACAGTTGATTAGTTAACACTCATTATTTTCGAAATGTTCTGATCTTATTATTTGTAGATATAGAAATGTATTGAGTTTATCTAAGTTAACTTTCAATTTGTTGTTGAATCATCGCAATATAAAAAGAAAATAGAAAAAAAATAGAGATACCGCTTGCATATAGAATTGTATTAATAATTTTACAAGTAGACGATACGGAAGAGACGATTTTCCAATTATTTAAATAAACGAATAATGCGAAAAGTAAAACAAACGTTAATACATATAGGTTTTAATTGCATCAACAAATGTGACAAAAGATAAATAATCTGTAAAAACTTGTTATATTATTTCCATGCCACACACATATATCATTGTGTTTAAAAAATTTACAAAAGTAGAAATAATAAAGATAAATATGTTTATCAAGTCGTACATAAATGCATTTCAAAATTCGATTTATTCAAAAACAACACAAAATATTTGTACAAAAAAATATTATTCCCATTTGATTTATAACGAAAAAAAAATTATATTCTGAATAGTAACTTAATGAAAAAGTATTCTTTT